CTTGTAAAATGTTTTAGGTGTCATTTGTTTCAAGGATCCCTGTAGCCTTTCCCACTGGAGATGCAAATTCACTTTGCAGAAGTATAGTGATGTATGCTTGTACCAAGAACGTTGATCTAGCTATTCAACAAGGCAAACAAAAATTATCTGGCTTTGGCCATTCCTTTTGCTCCATGTTAATCTCTTCAGGGCACAGCAAATCATCGAACAGTTTAAAATTAAGCATCTTCACCCCAAATGTTATGATGATTTCTAAACATGCAGATGGATCTCTCAATCAATGGCTAGTCAGTTTTGCAGAGGAATCTGCTTTTTCAACCATACTCAGTATTTCCCACAAATCAAGATACTGTGGTCATCGTTTCCATCTTAATGACCTGGCTTGTCATTCAGTACTGCCACTGTTACTTACAACCTCCCATCATAATGCGGTAAGGACACCAGTTGTTGATAGCACGCAAGAGGCACGTGATGACTCACCTTCAAGATCTCAGAATAAAAGCTCTGCAGGCATGTTGTCACAGGATTCCACTACTGTCTACAGTGAACTTATCCTTTGGAGAGTTGATCCTGTTGGGCCACTGTCTTTTTCTGGTGGAGTTTCTGAACTTGCACGAATCAATTCCCTTCATGTATCTGCTTTTTCAAACGTGGCATGGCTGCCTACCCTTATACCCAGTTACTGTCTTGGTGAGTATTTTTTCTGATTGATAGATGATAGTGCTGAAAGTAGCTGCATAGACAGGAAACAATATTTGAATGAAAATAGTGGTTTAATTTGATGAGTACCCTTTATTGATTTGTATTTAAAGTATATGTTTTCACAATTGCCTTTAGGCACATATTGCAATTCCCCAAGTGCTTGTTTTGTTGCAAATGATGGACAGTATTTGAGACTGTATCAAGCTATCATAGATGCGAAAAAGCTTCTGTGTGAACTGTCAAATCCAGGAATTTCTGTAAGTAAAAATTAATTTAGATTCTTCATTAGATAAGTATACTGATGTTAACAACTAAATTCAGTTTAGTGACCATGACATTGAACACTTGACCCAGGCCATTGAACACTTAAGAATGTGCAACAGAACTAAGTGGCATAATGGTTGGATCTTCACTTGCATGAGAAAAGAATCTCTCCTAACAAACTTCCCCAATTCCCCTTCCCCCAGCAGCCTCTCAGTGAAGTGTCATGTAGCACTAAGTGTTGCAGTGAGGAGGAAGAAATGGGCAAAACTGTCGTCCCTCACTCTTGCATGAGTAACATGAGTTTGCACTCATCTAAAGGTTTTTGAACAATATGGTAGACTTTGGGGGAAGATGTACCATAGAATTACTACCTTTTTATAGTGGGCAGTTTAGAAAGCCACTTTCAGTAAAATATGTTTGCAGCAGTTGGTAGAGGAAGTGACATGTGAGATGCCTGTGATCCCTAGCATCTTGCAGTTATTTTCTCTTAATTCAATTTTTTGTGGGGATTCCTGTTTTCACATAGCAGTCCTTCACCATTAAGTGTGGAAAACAGCATGGCACAAATAAAAATTAACCCCAAAGTGCATATGTGCCATTACAATATAAGTAATGTTTTCTTTTATTAAGATGTACTGTGACAATTAAAATATATATATTGTCAGGGCAAACAAACACTATTTGCAGCTTTTCAATCAGTTGGCCTAGAATGGTCTATGATGCTGTATAATTACTGAGGCCTGGTAGCTAACTAAGCACAAAACCTTAAGAAGACTAGTATGTAGGGAGTATTGCTTTAACATGCTTCTTAAATAAAGGGCAGGTATGTCTTCTCTAACATTCGTTAGCAAAACAGAGTCAGGATTTAGGATCATACTGCATATGGAGACACATGGTTCCTACAGATTTTTAAAAAATTATTTTAATGTAGTTGCAGGGAGCTCAGTTTATTGTGGGCAGGAGGAGGGGCTTTTCAACCACTAAAATTGCTTTTCTATTTTGCTTTCCTTTCTGCAGGAAAATACATTTAAGGACCTAGTATCCCCCACCCAGCTGAAAAATAGTTCCTAGTGAGAAGGATAAGCACCTCATTTTCCCCTGCCACTGCTCTGCTCATGTTTGGCACCCTCTAATCAATTTGACACTGTTTATTTCACACACACACACACACACACACACACACACACACACACACACACACAAACAAACATATACCACCTATATATATACACACACATATGAGACCCATTCAGGGTCTCTCCAGAGATGTGACTTCTCTTTTCCAGGTTTGGGTTTGCTGTTGTCAGCAGTCAGGAATGTTGTCATTCCTAAGAATCACTTATACTACCTTTAGGATTCAAACAATAGTATGTAAAATAATACTTTATTGTGCTAAAATGTAATTCAAACAATAGTATGTATAATAATACTTTATTGTGCTAAAATGTAATACTTCACTACAGAAATAGAAACAACATAACCTTTAATACTGACTTTGCAGAAATATGTTGGTGAAGTATTTAATATCATAAGTCAACAGTCCACAGCCAGACCAGGATGCATTGTAGAGCTGGATGCTATTACAGAACTGGTAAGGACTTTAAGAAGTCAGTGAAAAATATTTTGTTATTGTTTTGAACTCAAGAAAAGGTTATTTACAGAGATAGTATTTTGGGGAACTGAAATCTGCCAAGAGTGTTGCATATTGCTAAGATTCCATTTGATTGTCATTTTAATGGGTTATATTCAAAGGCAGAAATGTGGGATATAAACTTTGTAAATAAATAATAAATATTCTGTCAAAACTTGAGATCTTCGTCGATGTAATCACTCCTGTGTATTTATAGATGTCTTGTATGTACATTTTAGTCATGCATCTGTATTTATACAAACTTTGTTTACTTTAATTTAGCATGGTGGGAAAATGCAGTTACTTCATGTTTTTCAAGAAGATTTCATTTTGAATCACCATGAGACTAAACTGTCAGAAAAAAACACCATGTTATCAGACTCTGGTAAAGCCCATGCTTCAATAAATTTGCAGTAAAGTGAAAAGATAATGAATGTGTTACAGACATTTTTGTTGTAGCAGTGCATTTAAGATCATGATTTTGGCTTGACAGTAGTAGTCATATCCTAAGGAAATGGATTCCAGTCCTATAAGTGACAATCTAATGTTTGTAGTGTTGTAGTGGTATCGTTAATGTCATTGAAACTACTAGTGCTCTTTGTGTCAACATATATGTAATAGCGGTGGTTGCCCTCCCCAAGTAGATCAAAATCCATAAGAGAGGGCTAGGTAGAGATGGTGTGAATGTTGTTGGGTTTTCCCCCCAAACCCTGGGTATGTTTACATAAGGTTTTTAAAAAGTAAACTACAATAAGTTACACTGATAAATAAACTACAATGGCTGCATGTGCACAGTTGCTATTTTTAAAAAGTCTCATACAACAATATGAAGAAGAGGGGGAAGGTAGGCAATCAGCTGAGGAGGCAAACACTAGCGGAGGAGCTAGGTGGTTAGGTATGTGGGCAACAGGAGGGGGGAAAGCGTAAAATTGGGAAGGCACACAAGGAAAAGCAAACATTTGGGTTGGGTGGATGGAGGAGAATCCAGGCAATTGAGCAGATAGGTAGGAGGAAGCAAAAATGACAACAGTTTAGGTGGATAGGTGAGAAGAGAATGGGCAATTGAGTGGTTTGATAAGGGGCTAGAAATGAGAGGCAGCTGCTCTCAGGCACAAGGAAGGCAACAAAGTTTGACACAAGCTAAAAATAATTTGTAACGTTTTGTTTTGGATTCCCAGCGTTACAGTGTTCATACTTCTAGAAGTAGGTAGTAAGGGAAGTGGTCTTCCATGTCCACTGGCCAGGATTTTTTAAAAATATATATCAGAAACTTTAGGTGATGTGACGTATGGAACTAGAATACTGTGTGTGAGTTATTTCTTAAACTCCATCTTTATTCAAAGTACCCTGCTACTTTAATTTTCAAATAATACAAAATCAGCATGCAAAGTGGTGGTACCTCCATGTGTAGTTGCAAAATCATAAATGGATAAATTGAGCCGTGCAGTTACTATAGGTTTCAATCCAGAATAGTCTAAGTAAATGCAGGCACATAGTAGACTTTTTATTTTACACTAATTAGCAGTAACCTGTGCCACAGCTTGGACTAACACTGAGATTTCCCTGAATGTATAAAGAATTCCTGTGCAAAGAAGCTAGAACAGGGGTGTCAAACATATGCCCCACGGGCCAGATCCAGCCTACAAGCAACTGGCTCCCTCCTGCTCCCTTCACCGGGGCTGCTGCTGCATTGCAGCACATTTTTGCCCAGCTCCCTCTGCTGCTTCCTGCTTCCTTCCAAGACTGCTTCTTGCTTCCTTCCAAGCCAAACCTCCTTTCCCTCCATTGGCTGTGGGCTTCTCCTTTTGGGAGGAAGGCAGGGGGAGGCAAAGAGCGAGAGAGAGCTCCACCCAGGAGAGAGAGAGTAACGTCTGAGTTCCATGGCTCCTTTAAGAGCAGCAATGTTTTATTTCAGGTATAAGCTTTCGTACACTTCTTCTCCAAAGGGAGGGAGAGGGTAGATGGATTCTTCGGACAAGCACAGTTTACACTGAGATCACTGTGCTCTGCTCTTACCTTTGAGACTTGATATGTCTCTTTCTCTTTTTCTGTCACACACACATGCACAGGTGTAGTATGTGTGTTAAAAGGAAGGGGCCGGTTGGGATAAGGGAAAATGAGAACTAAAAGGAAATTATTTTTGGCGTATTCTGAAATGTTTGTTTGTTTTCTTGAGATTAGATTTCTCTGTGCCCATATGAGATTTCATTTTCTTTCAAAAAGACCCTGATTAGAACACTTGGATTGGCTTCCATTTGTTAATAATCCAATTCCATTGGATCCCATTGTTTAATAATGGAAGTAGATGGCTAAGTTATTTAAAATACATTTATGGTTCCATATGTTCCAGTTCAACACGTCTCCCTTTCTCCCCTCCTACCTTGCTGGCTTCCTTTCTTCATTCCCTTTTTTTCGTTATCACCAACGCTTGAGTGGATTTTGCTTAGTCTGAAATCAACACATAATCCCTCTCTCCAGTTTAAGCAGATGAAAGGGGAGGGGGGAGAAGCCTAACAGTACAGCTTGCAAGATTTATTAGTGGAAAGGAGCATGAGTCCAGTAGCACCTAACAAAATTTTTGGCAGTGCATGAAGTTTCATAAGTCACTGCTCACTTCTTCAGATACAGCCTAGAATGTGAGTCTATTGGTCCTTATACCTTGGGCAGTGGAGTGATTTCGGATGCCACATGACAATAGCAGGCGGTAATGAGACAGGGAACCTAGGTCTCAATTCATCCCTGGAGGATACATTGAGCTTCATGATCAATTGCAATTCAGCAGTCTCTCTTTCTGATCTCCCTTTGAAATTCCTTTGTAAGAGAAATGCTACTCTTAGGTCAGCAATGTCCTTGGAAGGTTAAATATTCCCCCACTGGTTTTTGAATGTTGTGGTTTCTAATGTCAGACTTATGTCCATTTATTCTTTGCATCTTCCTGGACTAAATCTTCCTGGACCAAATGGAGACCTAGGTTTCCTGTCTCATTACCAATGCTGGTATCTCCTCTGCATATCACACCTAATCCAATCAAGCCTGCTTTTGTTGTTTTCCTGCTATTACCATTCGGCATCTGAAATCATCTTTATAAAGATTGTATCTCAGATACATCATTTAAATTTTATGGGATGCATGGCCCGGCCTGACAAAGTCACATTTATGCTAAATCCAGCTCTCGTAACAAATGATTTCGACACCTCTAAGCTAGAGTATAAAATTTTAGTTGCATTTGTTCTTCTTACATAAAGGAGCTCAATTAGATTGAGACTACGCTGTCCAATCCAATGCACATTTACTTGGAAGTAAGTTGTATTGAAGTCAATGATATTTATTCTCAAGCAAGTTTGCATAGGCTTTGGATTCTGCACATTTCAACTTACCTAATGTACATCATGAAAAGGAAAAACAGTTGTAGTCTGTAGTTAACAGGTGAAATTGTTGTACTAAAAAGGAAATCTGTTCACATTTTTACAGGATATCAGAAAAATGGATTTTCTGAAAAATTCTATTTAGTTGTCATTGAATACACACAGAACAGCTCAGTGTTACGCATGTGGAAACTACATTTGAAGTCTGTACCAGCCTCAGTGGGTATGTTCTTAATATTTGTAATATAAATTGTCTAATCATCAAATTTGCCTTTTTATGTTTTATTTTCTAATTTGATAATGGCAGATACAATATTTTAAGCAGTTATTACTTCTGTACTGCAGTTCTATAATCTGTTCCTTGTTGTGCATTCTTCCTGATGTGTGCATGAGGTATGGAGTTCAACTTTATTGTCTCAAAATCTTCTCTTGATCTGGAAAATATTAGGGCAGGAATGAATGTATGGGGTTTTTTGTTGGATACAAACACAGTGAGCATGTTCCATATGTTAAGTACTTTTAAGTCCAGCCCAGGTTAAGTACTTTTAAGTTTGATTGAAATCAATGAGAAAATTCTCGCTGAGAAACTAGTTCTCCTATGAAACGTTTTTATTTAAAATATTTGTATTCCACTTTATCAATAAACTTGAGAAGTGGCTTACAAAATAATAACAGCATAATACAAACAAAACAGCATACTTACAAACAAAATGGAATGGAATGAAAACTGAACAAAAGAAAAAATTAGAACTGGTAGAACAATCAGCACATTGTAAATACGGTTGATCACCAACAGCAATAGGTTCTCAGCCTAAAAAACAAAACTGCTTCAAAATTTATAGATTTGTACTTCAGTATTTCATAAAGATATGTTGGAACAAACAATGTACTTAGTTATTTACATTCAATATTGTACTGTAAATTTACGAACAGTCATGTTTTGGAATTTGTATTTTACCTATTGTCAAAAATCCTTACTTTTGAAATTTTTGTATTATCACTAATTCAATATTAATAAAATGTTAATAATAATAAAAGAAACCCTGCAACATCTAGATTTAAAAGAGACGTGGCAAGGATGCTAAACACTAAAAAGTGTAAAACTAACCAAGTGCCTTAGATAATAAAATATTAATTTGGGAGCTGGAGACCTTTTATGTGGAAAGTTCCAAAGTTCTGCTGCCATATGAGAGAAGGCTTTATGTTTGTAGCTCATCCACCTTATCCCTTATAGTGGGGCTCACAGATTAGAATCTAAATGAAAAGTATTAACTGATAGGCTGGAAGATAGGCAAAAAATATTCCGATCATGTAGAGCTTTATAACCAGTAACTTCTGTGTTGAATTGTGCCTGGAAGTGAGCTGGTAGTCAGTGAAGGTTTTTTAAATTCTGTCCAGCACAGGCTGACACCACAAACACTTGTTCGCCTTATTCACCATGTCAATCTTATTGAACTGAGTTTCCATTTATTCTTTCATCCTATTACTGAATCTACAAGAGAATGCAGGGTATCAGTTCCCCAAGTGGACTCAGTTAAAAAGAAGTAATATAGTTGGATGAAATCTGCATGTTGATAACCTCATTCTAAATCCTCAAACCAGCTGTTTGTTATTAAACAACATGGGGAACAGAATAGCATTAGATGGATATCTGTCTTTTATATGCTGTGAGGTCGAGAAGTAATTCCCCAGTGCTACACTCTGGAACAAATTAGCTGTGTAAGAACAGAGTCCCTGGAAACCAATGCCTCCAATACTCATCCCCAAAGCTCTGTGCAGCTTCTTTCTTCCTCCCGGGGCTGCAACTCCTGTCGAACTGCCTCCGCATTTGATGCTGACAGTCTGCCTTCCCTTTTTGATGAGTTAGCCTGTTTGGGGTTGCTCCCGGCCAGTCCCGGGAGGATGGGAGGCAGTTGACCGGGACAAAGTTACAACCAACTCATGGCAATCCCATGAAGTTCCACCCCATGGGGTTTTCAAGGCAACAGATGAGGAGAGGTGATTTGCCATTGTCTTCCGTGGCAGTCTCTCATCCCAAGTACTGATTCTCCTTAGTTCCCTGGGCTAGCAGGACTGTATCTTTCAGGACCCACTTATAAAGTACTCCATGCTACTTCCTCTCTTCCCAACACAGAACACATGAATCTTATATCAGTAAATGCTGAACAAAGTTGTATGTTATTTTTCAGTTTCAAAATGTTTAAATATAAAACAATATTGAGGAACAGGCTAATGGCCATTTATACATTATACAGAGGCAAATCCAGGTTTGCTCCTTAGGAATGCAGACAATCACACCTTTCTGATTAGCATATTGTCCAAGATCTGCTTTTACAAACATATGAAACTATATAGTTCTTCTAAGCAAGAATCTATAATATTAGAAGAACATATGATAATGTAATGTATGTAGTGGCTTCTCATGTCTTGGTTGAAGAAATAGGATTGTGCAGGAATGATGTAGAAACAGGGTTGGAGTGCATTGCCACTTACTGGATATGCAAAGTGGGGGATTTCATCTGTGTACTTCTTAAGGACAGTACTGGAAAGAATGAATGATAGGTGGGCTAGTTGTTCTGAACAATGTCTAGACAAGACTAATCATTCTGTCACATTTTTATCCACCTCTTTCCAAAAAGGGTAAGGGTGGCATTCATTATGTGTACCCGCGAGGCAATAGACATTGCCTGTTACTATCAATTCTTGCACCATCACTGGCTGGAAGCGGCTGAGCTCATGGCAAGACTGGCAGAGCTGCAGGACAGGGCTCAACTTGGACCCTGGGATCAGCAGTACAATTCCAGGTGGTGAAAAGCGTAGGGGTAAGCTCATTCCCATTAAGAATGGGCACGAACCAGGAAAATTGAGGTTTATGAAGGTTCATGGGGTCTCATGAACCACAAACCTTCCTGTTTAACAAACCAGTTTGTGGTTCGTGATGTGGCATGGCTTTTGCAAGCCATGCAGTGCACAAGTGAAGTCCAAGCAGCGAGTTCACCCACTTCCAGATGACCTTGCTGCTTGGTTGTAAATCGCACGTTGCACGGCTTACAAAAGCCATTTTAGGGGTTCCTTTTAAGTGGTTTTCTTGCAACCTGCACCACATGCAAGTGCAGTCCAAGTTTGTAAAAGCCATTTAAAGGGATACCTTTAAACTGCTTTTGCAAGCTGCATCTCCACCACAGTGGTGTGACTTGCAAGTGACCACAAAATGCATTTAAGTGCCTTCTGAGTTCATTCGCCAAGTTGTGCCACCGCGGTGCAGCTTGGAGAAGGCATTTAAGGAGACCATGCCCCACTGCTGGTGCCAGTGTGACTGCTGATATGAACCGCATGAGCCTCCCAAAGCCATCTGGGAAGGTTGTGGGAGGTTTGTGGCGGTGGGATGGTATGAACCTCAGTTTGCGAGCCACAAACTGGGCACAGTTTGTCACGAATATAGGTTCATGAGCTGGTTTGTGCCCATCCTCTACTCTTGTCACCACCTGGACTTGCTCTACTGATTGCTGGGTCCAAGCTGAGCCCTGGTCTGCAGCTCTTGCCAGTGCTTATTGCTTCCCCCACTGCTGCTACTTGGTTTGGTCAGCAAACCTGTACATGGAATGCTCACCTTGCAATCAGAGGGTGATTGGCTGTGTCTCTCCCTGAACACCCTGCTCTCTGAGGGTATAAACCACAGGGCAAAGGAGAAGGGAAAGTGGCTACTTCATCCTGCTGCTGACAGGAGGTGAGTTCATTGCCTCCTCCACTAGCTCATTCTGTTCTTCCACTCTCCTGGCCATGTTGACTTACTTGCAAAAGAACTAAAACCCGCTTTTAGGTTCAAACCCACAGCTTGAAAACCGTTGCTGACATTGACCAACTGTCAGGGTGACCAAGACAGTTTCAGTCTGAAAACTGGGGCACAAACTAAATTGAAATGGATCCAGATAATGGTATCGAAGAAAGCCTGCAGTTGTCTGGCTACCATTTATTTGAGCACTATACTCAAGAATGATACTGTGTTATGTTTTGGCTGGATCATGCACCATGTTTGAACAGACAGCCTTAAGTACCTCTTTAGCAACACCAACAATTTTAACTTTTTATTTTATTAACTGTGGTGGTTTGTTTGAATCCAAAAGTTGTTGAGTTTTGCAAGGTGTTGTTCTACAGTGGTCCATCTCTAAATGCAATTTAGTATTAACAGCACCTATCACTTGACTCAGTTGTGAGATACGTGTGTTGAGCCAAGTCAAATTTACTATTTTTATCAATGTTCTGCCTATGTAGTTACAAATATTCTAACAAGAATAGGTACATATTATTTTTGAAAGTTGAAGTGAGAGAATGGCATGGTTGCTACTTTTTGATCATGAGACCTAAGATGCCAGCAAAGTTCTAAAGTTGGAGCACACTTGATTAGGGATGGGCACAAACTGGAAAAATTCAGTTTTTTTCGGTTTGTGGTGTGCCTGGTTTGTGAGCCATGAACTGTCATGAACTTCTAGGTGCCAAATGAACTGGTTTGGCTCATGAGGTTTGTGATGCAGTAGAACGCCCTCCTTAAAGGTAAAGGTTCCCTTGCTCGAAAGCCAGTCGAATCCGACTCTAGGGTTGCGGTGCTCATCTCCGTTTCAAAGCCGAAGAGCCAGCACTGTCCGAAGACGTTTCCGTGGTCATGTGGCCGGCATGACTAAACACCAAGGTGCACAGAACGCTGTTACCTTCCCACTAAAGTGGTACCTATTTATCTACTTGCAATTTCTTGCTTTCGAACTGCTAGGTTGGCAGGAGCTGGAACTAGAGACGGGAGCTCACCCCGTCTTGTGGCACCCGGGTCTTGAACTGCTGAACTACTGACTTTCCACAGCCTGCAGTTCAGCGTCTTAACCACTTGAGCCACCGCAGCTCGCTAGAAATACTAGACTTGTAGGGGATCTCTGGCTGACTCTCCTTACCTGCTCTCCAAGTTCAGCGACGATTGTATGTACCCCAAAGCAGATGCCCCCAGGAAAGTGCTTTCAGGGGAAATGACAGGCACAGGTTCTGGAGGTTAATGAGTGTATAGAATGGTCGGTGTGCAAACCAGAGATATCAAACTTGCTAGGGACTTCCCCGTGATACTCTTCTATATGCCCTCCAAGTTATGTGCAGATTGGACGTAGGGGGTCCAAGTTATGCCCCCCCCAGAAGATGCCCCCAGGAAAGTGCTTTTGGGGAAAATGCCAGGCATAGTTTCAAAAGTTTATAGAATGGACCAGTGTTTCCAAAGCTGGAGAATTCTGCCCCCCATTGCTTTGAAGTTTAGTAAACATTTTGATTGAGCAGTCTGTCTGGAAATGTGTCCATTTACAAACTGCCACAAACTGCTTGAAAGTTCATGGAAAGTTTATGTTGTTGACCTGCCATGAGCTTCAGTTTGCAAACCATGAACCAGTCAAAATTCATCATGAACTTTAGTTCCTGAGCCGGTTCATGCCTATCGCTACACTAAATGTTGCCATCTTACAAACTTGATAATCTATTTTGGCAAGGAAATAAGTAGCATTTAAGCTTAGAATTGAGTTAAAAGTTGTATTTACAGAATTATCATTGTTTCGTATATCAAAGTCTGTAGTACTGTCTTCTTTTTTTTTCCTTTTAGATGAACAAATAAATTCAAAAACATCTAAAACAACATCACACCAAGAAGACCTCTATTGTTCTCCAGATCAAGAGAAGCTCCAGTGTTCTCTCACACAAAAATATGAAACTTGCCGAGAGAAACTTCAAAGTACCAGCCAGCTTGCTCTTTTTTCAGAGCTGGTTTATAGTCAAGAACTGAATTTGCCACAAGGAGTAGAGATAATAAGTATAAAGCCATCTGCAGGTTTGTAAATGATGAAAAGGGATGTGAGGATGAATGGGCATTTATTTGTACATCTGCCTTCTTGTTGGATTGTCTTCCATATTTTCATCATGCCTTAATTCTAGTTTGAAAATCTAGCAGTTTACTAAAGTGTTGCAAATGCCCCGAGGGCACTAAGGTTCATTGACTTGTGTGGCTAGCCAATAAACCACACAGTTAAAACAATCATCCAGACAGTAAAGGGTAACAAAACAATTTATTCGAATATGGAGCACCTCACAGCTTAAATTCAGCGTGGGTGTTAAATGAGCAAATACAGAAAGCAGAGTTATATACTCTTCTTGCTCCTCCTCACTTTACATAATCACTGACATCACTTAGATCTGCTCAGTTCCGTTTTCTTTGTCTGGCCAGTCATCAATCACATATTTGACAGGATGTGACTTGGCTGCGTCTCAACTCCCACAATTCAGATGCAGTACTCATTATGCTCATTATATTTGATTTACAATTTTGTTTACTTTTTTTGGCCATACTCCCAGACTCCTTTCACCTTTGAATGAACTTTCAGGCTGAGTTCATTTTCAGTATCAAATCTATCAGTTCTGTTACACAGTTGGTCTTCTTTTACATTAATACATATATCTTAAAGCATTTTATAAACTTATTTTCACTAACAGGTATACAAAATATGAAAACATATCATTACAATGACATTCTAAAGAATTAAAACTTTTACATGAAATCTTTTAGTGTTTTAAAGTAGCCTATGGCCTAAAGCTCTTGTAGATGCACTGAACCTATCTATTAGTTTTCATTTTGGCCTATCAGAATATTTTTAATAATTTTTATTAAGTTTCTTTTTGTCTAAATTAAAGCTTTTAATTTGTAAAACACAGTAGCTTACTTTAGCCAGGAGGGGACACCAGTCTATAATACAAATGTTGTATTTCTAATTGACCCTTTTAGTGTAACAAACTTCAAAGCACACACTTTGGAACATCTCCTGACTTTGCTCGTTCTGACCTGCCCATGATTTATGTTTTCTATGTTGGCAGGGTCTTCTACACACCTGGTAGTTCTGAATGTATAATCATTTCCCTTTAGGCAAACAGTATTTTTTGTCTTAAGCTTAATAACTTTAGCAGAGCTTAAAACTAATAAAGGGATAGTTGTTTTACAAATGTCTCTTATACATATTCAGCCTTAACAAACATAACAAAGTTCTAAAAACACACCATCAGATCAAGAGAAGAGATTTCTCTCTGTTACAATATATAGCTGTCCTTTTACCCCAACTAGGCTCTTCTCTTTTGAAGTACAAGATGGAACAATAAATCTTAAAGTTGGCAATAGTTTCTTTCCAATTTAGACTGTTGACATTATACCTATTCAATTCATTAAGCAAAGCTTTCTGTTATTCCAGTTTAAAAAATGCAAACAGTCTTTTCTATTTAGAATAATAATCTACAAAACCAAGTATATAGAGATATTGCATATACCAATAGTTCAATATTGATATACTAAAACCTATTTTAAAATTAAGCTTATTTAGAATTACCAAAAAATCAGAAGCTGAAATGAACTTTTAAATGGATCTCTTTGAAGTAGAGAGATTCTCATAAATATTGAAAATTGACAGCTCCTAATTGGAAATTGGCAAAGTTTAACCTGGGCAGAAAACACCTGCCATTTCCTCTCTATTTCTTGAAATTAGCTTTACTAGGAAGCAAGGGCTGGACCATGTTAATTAAAAATGATTTAAACCACCTGCTTTTATAACACTGTTTAGTGATTTAAACTGCTCACCAACTCCACCAGGAATTTCAAAGACTTTCCCCCCAAAGATTCCTGTAAAACAGCAATAATCAATAGAAAATCATTTGAACCTTTGGCATTGCCTACAAAAGTAAGCTTAGATCTAAAAATAATATTAAAATTGCACTTAAAATACATAGCAACTATTGTTGCAAAAGTCATAGTGTAAGACACAAGAACGTTTTAGGGGATTGATACTGCTTTTCTTAAACCCTGCAAAATTAGATTTATAAATCTTTTTTAAAACACACACACACTTGTATCCTAAGGATTTTCTTTTTAATTTTAGGTCATTTGAGTTCTTCCTCCATATATCCAGTCTGTCAAACTCCTTATCTTCTTGCAACTTTATGCTCGGATGATAAGGTTAGATTTTGGAGGTGCAGAGTGACGTTGGAATCAGGTATTGTTTCTGAACCAGGGAGAAATTCAAATATTGGTACGTATGTATGGGAAGAATGGCCACTACTAATTGAAGATGGATTTCTTAGTAGCAGTTCCCTTAATGTGCCAGGGAAACCTCTTGAAATTAGTTGTGCACATACAAATCGATTAGCTGTGGCATACAAGCGAAAAATGCCCCAAAATGGTGGTTCTTCTCAAGACTCTTCAGTGAATGTTGGCATTTTTGAATGTGAATCTACTGGAGGATCTTGTTGGATCTTGGAACAAACTCTTCACTTGGATGAATTAAACCCAACATTGGACTCTTTGGGTATTGATAGTAATTCAGTGGCAGATGGAAAGGAGAATGTAATACCCAGCACAAAACATTTAGTTCACTTAGACTGGATGTCTAGAGAAGATGGCTCACATATCCTAACAGTAAGTATTGGGCCAAAGCTTTATATGTTTGGTCATCTGGCTGGGATATTGCAGGAACAAACTGGTAAAGAAATATTTGTCTTGCCACTGTGGGAGAATGCTAAGACTTCAGGCCCTTCTAGATTTGTACTGCTGCGATGTGTGGATTTAGTATCATCTGTAGAAGGCTCACCTCCTTTACCTGTTTCTTTGTCTTGGGTTCGTGATGGCATCCTTGTAGTTGGAATGGATTGTGAAATGCATGTTTATTCTCAGTGGCAGCCTCTTTCAAAACAAGAGCCTGTTTCCATAGACTCCTACAGTGGGAGTACACCATCCATAATAAGTTTAATGAAACAAAACCAGTCATCTGGTCTCCACCCACCAAAGCGAACATTAACCAGATCAATGACAAGTCTTGCTCAGAAACTTAGTGGAAAGAAAACTGCATTTGATATGTCATTAGAGTTGGAGGATTCTGGACTGTTTGAAGCAGCTCACGCATTGTGTCCCACTTTACCTCAGTACCACCCTCTTCAGCTCCTGGAACTCATGGATCTAGGAAAAGTACGTAGAGCAAAGGCAATTCTGTCTCATCTTGTTAAATGCATTGCTGGAGAAGTTATTGTCGTAAATGAATCTGAACCCAGCCATGAAAGGCGGCACCACTCTCTCTCAATTTGCGCCAGTGGGAGCACCACACGGGACCCGAAGACATTCAGCCAACGCCTTAGTGAAGTTTCAGACTATACAGAAATAGACTCTGTTCCACCACTTCCTTTATATGCATTGCTTGCTGCAGATGAGGAAGGTTCGTATGCTTGTACAGAGAAGTTGAACAACCCAAGGAACATTAACAAACAAAATGTGCCAGATGAAAACTATGAAGATCTTTTTCAGAATTCTAGTCTTCATACAGATGACCTCACTTTGTGTGACATAGATGAAGAAGACAAAAAGCCAAGTGTTATCGATCTTTCTCAGTATAATCCAACTTACTTTGGACCAGAGCATGCCCAAGTTCTTTCTCGTCACTTGCTTCATTCTAGTTTACCAGGCATGACCAGGATAGAGCAGATGTCATTAATGGCCTTAGCTGATACAATTGCCACTACCAGTACTGATATAGGAGAAAGCAGAGACAAAAACCAAGGTAAGCTCTCTTGACTATTGACATTCAGTGTTTGTCATAACCTACACATGTTTGGAGAAAGTTGTAGCTTCTACAAACTGTCACTTCAGATTTGTATTTTATAAATCTAGTTGTAAATACCTTTAATTTTCTCACAAATATCAAAAGCTTTAAAGTCGGCAAGTTAGTGCCACTATAGTTGCAAAACAAATGGTTAATTATGGAAGGCCTTGGGTAAGGGGATCTATGAAATTTGGTATTCTAGAGTAGCTTGAACTTGATTTTCAAATATGTTAGGCTTGGAATAACTCTTTCTGAATGCTGTTTTAGTCCAGCGGCACCTTTAAGACCGACAAAGTTTAATTCTGGTATAAGGTTTTTTTGTGCATGCACACTTCTTCAGATACCTTGAAACAAGACTTCCTCAGTCATTACATATAGGTAGAGATGGGGTTGTTAGTGGCTAGGAAGGGCTAATTCGAGTCAAGATGTGTAAGTAACTGAGTGATAAGTATAGCTAAGATTGGATTAAAGCAGTTGGTAAGACCTGTGAAAAGCAGCAGTTAGCATACAGATAATTTAAAAAGTTAACAGATGTGAGAACTAAGTTTGAGTCTAGTGGCACCTTTAAGACCAACAAAGTTTAATTCTGACTGTAAATTAGATGCTGTATTATTGTGGGTGAGGAGTTGTTTAAGATTGGGGGGGGGATTTGAACATGGACACTGGTAGCAGAGCTTGCAATAAACCCAGATGCCAACTTTACTGCTGCATACACCCAGTCAACACAAGCAACCTAACAGTGTTAATTGCACCATCTCAGGCTCTTCACTTGCTCATCTTCTAACACTGTATGTGCCATTAAATGCTGACAGTGGCCTTCAGTTATCTTCATAGGGCAAACAGATCAAACCCTATGCCAAAAGATAAATGGACAAAAATCTGACATCAAGAATCACAAAGTTAAGAAACCTGTAGGAGAATATTTCAGCTTCCCAGGGCACTCAGTGGGGAACTTCAAAATAGCTGTTTTATTGCAAAAGAATTTCAGAAACAGAGTGAAACAGGAGATGCTGAATTACAGGTTAGTTCTCACATCTATTTGTTAACTTATTATCTGTATGCTAATTTGCTGCTATTCACACGTCTTACCCAACTGTGTTAATCCAATCTTAGCTATACTTATTGTTCAGTTACTTATGCATCTTGACTCTAATTAGCCCTTCCTGGCAATTAACCCCCCCACCCTCTTTCTACCTGTATGTAATGGTTGAGGAAGTCTTGTTGCAATGTATCTGAAGAAATGTGCTTGCACATGAAATCTTATACTCAGAATTAAACTTTGTTGGTCTTAGAAGTGCCACTGGACTCAAAGTTTGTTTTATTGCTTCACACTAACACTCTTTTCATAGGAGGAGAAACACTTGATGAATGTGGCTTAAAATTTCTTTTGGCTGTCCGTCTTCACACCTTTTTGACAACCTCTCTGCCACCTGCTCACAGAGCCCAACTACTTCATCAAGGTAACACTTTTCCCTGTTGCCATTTTGTATACACTAAAAAAATTAGGGACAGCTGTTCATAGGGGCAAATAAGAGGAAAAAATGGTAAGGAATATGTAGATTGCTTTCTTAGGTAAATGCCCAAGCTTGTTTGGGCTGTAATTACTTTGACTCTGGATGGGATGTTGTTTAGGATGCAAGTGTATCTATGAACTGCTAAATTCAGCTACTTTTGTATTCTGGTTATTTCAGGCTAGTAATTCATCAAATACCAACATAATACAGTTTACAACTTCTAAATTTATAATGTCAGTTTGAGATAATTAATGGCATGCATAAATTATAATAATGGTGATATTTAGATGTTCCATGGCTGTATTCATATATATTGACAAGCAATGTTTATCATAATGAAGACAAGCCTTGGAAGTTTTCAGGCTTCTTCCTCCCTTTTTATCTGTCTTTTTATGAGGTACAGGAATTGAATAGTTCCTGTTCACAAATAACCCCTTAAATTGTACTGTACAGACATTCCACTTATGGAAGAGGATAGAGAATTTCATCACTCACTGTAATCTCCAGACTCATTTTGGGTTTTTGTTTGCAAGGATGCTTTGAGTCTAAGGAATATCTTTTGTTCAGGAGTGGGGGGCAGAGGGGGTTAACAAAAGCTAAGAATGGCCAGGAAGGATTCACTTGTACCTGCAGAGTGTCTGTTAGATGCTACACATGGTTTGTTGCTGTATCTGAGTCACAAATTTGGGTTTACTGTTTTTAAGAAATATTTAACCTTCTCCCTCTGTTGGGTGCAGGGGACTCTAGATGTTTAGCAAATTAATATCTTGATTTTGAGTAAATAGTTTAAAACATACCATTTTTGGACATTACAGGTTTGTCTTCTAGTCATTTTGCCTGGGCATTTCATTCAGTAGCAGAAGAAGAACTGTTAACCATGCTACCAGCAATGCAGAAACGTGATCCCACATGGTCGGAACTCAGAGCAATGGGAGTAGGATGGTGGCTTCGAAATACTCATAGTTTGCGCAGGTGCATTGAGAAGGTAAATGTAGTTTATAATAAACAGTGTTAACATCAGATGACCATTCTGCTTTTGCAGTTATTCCTAATATAATACTTCAGTATGGCTAATTTAAAACAAAAGTACTTTAATTTCTGTCTTTGACTTGGATCCTGTTTAACGATAGTGGAAGCAAATTTTCAAAGGTCCTTCCACTACAGCCTGATGTGCCCCATGGGGGGTACTTCATTGAAAAGGAGGAATAAAAAAATCTCTTGCCCACAGTTTCCATTGATGGAAATAGCTTTTGTAAGTATGCATTCCTTCCCCAACTATTAAATAAGTAGCTTTGCTTCAAGCAGATGTTTTTGTGTCTGAAAATATTGAGAGGTCCTGGTTAATTTGGAAGTAGTTCAACTTTTTTAGCAAGAGAATTATAGCCACATCTTTTGAGACAACCATATCAGTGTTACCTATAGTGTTACTCTAGCATAAGTAGACCCTAATGCATTCCATTTAGGGAGGTGCACCAGACAAGATGCTTCCAAATTAATAAATTTGCCTGATAGAAACGAAGAACCAGGAAACAAAATCCCCCACATAAATGTCCAAAACCAAGTATTAATGTTATGAATATATCTGAAAGGTATATAGAAAGGACATGGAAGTAAAATATAAATACTTGGTGTAATATTAATTTTGAGTGCATTTACTTTGCCCCATAGAATGAATGTCACATAGTCCTGATACAGGTTGCAATAAGTAGTATTTGATTTTGCTTTCTGGCACCGACGTTTATGGCACAATTCGTAAGTGATTAAATTGAAGCTTATTGTGAAGACTGGTGTTGACAAGGTTTATTATTCCCATTAAGCGTGAATATTGCTTGTCAGATACCTGTATGAAAATAAAAGTAATTTCATCTTCATTAGATAAATTGATGATTTTAGATATTGCAATTATTTTTTGCAGGTTGCTAAAGCAGCCTTTCAGAGAAATAATGATCCACTAGATGCAGCCATTTTTTACCTTGCTATGAAAAAGAAGACTGTGATTTGGGGGTTATACAGGTATGTAACAGGGCTTAATGCACCGCATACAGAAAAACTCTTTCCTGCTTAAAGTTCTTTCTCTGGCCAAGGAAAAATAGTATTTTTTAGTCAAAACTTCAAATAAGTCTTTGATGCTGATACTTTATAGTTAGTTAGCATTTATGGTCTTTCCATTATGATTTTGCCATTTGCAGAGCAAATTTCACTGTAGATACAAATGCTGCCACCAGAAATTATATGGGGTCCCACAAAACTTGTTTCTGATGTCCATAAATATGCCCTGCTAACAAGACATTTCTGAGGGTTAATGGCTGCCCCTCCACCTTCTTTAAAAAGTATTGTATTTTTCAGAGCATTCTACAAGAATGCTTGGGGGGGAAATGTGGATATTTGCCAGAAACAATGGTGAGAAGCCCCTAACCACTACACCAAACTGGCTGGCGTCTGTGACCATGTAGCCCCGGACATCGTTGCTGCCACCGCCCACCCATTCTCTCAGGCTACTCTTTATCGTAGCAGTGATGTTTGCTGCTGTGTGTTCTGCATCCGTCTCTGTGCATGGAGCAGAACCATCTTGTAGCCCTCTGCAATGTTCCCTCTAAGCTGCGGAGTCTTGTGAGCAAAAATTCTACTTTGTGAGCTCCTGGCATTAAAGTTGTGAGCGAGCGATTTGGCTACTGCATAAATTGGTTTGCTCTGGAGCCCTCCTTCCTGAGCTGAGACAAAAATTTGTGAGCTGGAGGCTAAAAAACTGTGAGCTGGCTCACACTAACTCAGCTTAGAGGGAACACTGGCCCTCTGGTAGGACTGTGCTTCCTGGGGCGTGGCCCCAGTGGTCAGGACAGTGAGGTCCTCCGGTTGCCATCAGTGGGCAGCAAGAGATAAGTAACAGTGCTGCTGGTTGCTTCAGAGGTCCATGGCGAAGTGGACGGTTTGGCCTTTTGCTCTGGAAAGCTCACCCTTGACCATTGCCAGTGCGAAGCGGTGCATGGTGGGCAAGACTCACCGGCTCATGGTCCTTCGCAAGGGGATTGGGTACCAGTGAGCAAGGTGTTGCAGCAGTCAGTGAAAGGCTATGTCCTCCATGAGGGAGAAGTACTGGCCATCCACTGCAGTCATCTCACCAATGAGGCGAGTGAGTGCTTCCTGAGCCCTCCACCTTGCCCTTTTGGTAGCACTGTTGGCATCCCTGAGAATATGACCTCTTGGAGTGTGGCCTGGCTCAGGGTCCCAACCACGGCACCCAGATTGTGGGGAGCCTTTTCATGAGGGGCCTCCTGCTTCCCCTTTGGTTCTCTC